CAGTGATGAAGACTCAGGACCGGATCAGTGATGAAGACTCAGGACCGGATAAGTGATGAAGACTCAGGACCAGATCAGTGATGAAGACTCAGGACCGGATCAGTGATGAAGACTCAGGACCGGATAAGTGATGAAGACTCAGGACCGGATCAGTGATGAAGACTCAGGACCGGATCAGTGATGAAGACTCAGGACCGGATCAGTGATGAAGACTCAGGACCAGATCGGTGATGAAGACTCAGGACCGGATCGGTGATGAAGACTCAGGACCGGATCAGGACTGAGGGATGTTCTGACTCACTGATATAGAAAACCGGATTTATGAACACAATGAGAAGCTTTTATTTTGAAAAGCTTTAAATTCTCTGCATTAAGATTAATTAGTTTCAAAATAAAAGTTCACCCAAACAGAAAAACGTTTCAGCTCCTGCAGCTGCATCCCGTTTCAGAAAGTGAGTCTTTGGAAAAACGTTTCTGGAGTCTGAACTACGTGTCCCAACGGGTCCAAGGAGCGGTCCCATTCCAAACATTCCACTCAGTGAGCCCAACAGAACCGCTGTGTGCTCACATGGACCAGGTCCCCATTACCTGCTCCTAAAACCCCAGACAACTGTTGAGATTATTAATCTGTGATCAAGGCTACAGTTAGCATGTTAGCTTCATAACACCAGGAACAACTGTTGAGATTATATTCAATAATCTGTTTAAACAAGGCTACAGTTAGCGTGTTAGCTACATAACACCAGGAACAACTGTTGGGATTATTAATCTGTCTGATCAAGGCTACAGTTAGCATGTTAGCTTCATATTGGATTATTAATTTGTCTGATCAAGGCTACAGTTAGCATGTTAGCTTCATAACACGAGGAACAGCTGTTGAGATTATATTCAATAATCTGTTTAAACATGGCCAAAGTATTAATCTGTCTGATCAAGGCTACAGTTAGCATGTTAGCTTCATAACACCAGGAACAACTGTTGGATTATTAATCTGTGATCAAGGCTACAGTTAGCATGTTAGCTTCATATTGGATTATTAGTCTGATCAAGGCTACAGTTAGCATGTTAGCTTCATATTTGATTATTAATTGGTCTGATCAAGGCTACAGTTAGCATGTTAGCTTCACATTTGATTATTAATCTGTCTGATCAAGGCTACAGTTAGCATGTTAGCTTCATATTGGATTATTAGTCTGATCAAGGCTACAGTTAGCATGTTAGCTTCATAACACCAGGAACAACTGCTGGATTATTAATCTGTCTGATCAAGGCTACTGTTAACATGTTAGCTTCATATTGGATCATTAATCTGTCTGATGACGGCTACTATTAGCATGTTAGCTTCATATTGGATTATTAATCTGTCTGATCAAGGCTACAGTTAGCATGTTAGCTTCATATTGGATTATTAATCTGTCTGATCTAGGCTACAGTTAGCATGTTAGCTTCATATTGGATTATTAATCTGTCTGATCAAGGCTACGGTTAGCATGTTAGCTTCATAACACCAGGAACAACTGTTGGATTATTAATCTGTCTGATCTAGGCTACAGTTAGCTGAAGATGGTTCAGCTGTAATCATCCTAAGGACTGCAGCCATGTTTTGTTCCACTTCAGAAGCGGTTTGTTGTGGGTCTGAGAGTCCGTGGGTTTTAATCTGAACCAGGCGTCACAGCTGACCCACAGATGAACCYGGCTGAGGCAGATGGGTTCTGAGACGAGGGGGAAAACGTTAAATTTTACAYGAGTCTGCGACAGCCCCGCTGTGTCACGAGAAGCTGCGAGGATCGAGGGTCCTGCTCGGTTCTAAACTCACCACCAGTCCTGATGGAGGAGGTGGAAATCCCCCCGACGTACAGGAAGTTCCAGCTCTGAGGAAGAGGAGGAGGAAAAAGGGCCGGAGCTCCAACTTTAAAGACATTTCTACAGATTAGCTGCTGTATTTCTCATCAAACCTCTGATTTAAGGTTTAAACCTCTCAGTTTGTTAGACTCTTTAAATCTTTATAATGAACTTATAACAAAGAGACATTTAGTTAATAAACTTTAAATGTTAGATTATAAAAAGGTCAATTTCAAATAAACTGAGTCTGGGGACGATATTCAAGTTCATCCTGAAGGAAAACAGAACAAATATTAGACAATTAAATTTTATTTAAGGTGACAAAAATAACTTTAATTTGGTGAAATTAAAAAGCACATCGTTATCTGTAAAACACACCGAGGAAACGTCAAACTGCAGCTAAAACTAGATGTATTTATTTAGTTTGGGTGAGTCTGAAAACAAGCAGCACAACCAGAACTACTTCATTTCTTTTATTTGTTTAAATAATATTTATCAGAATGGAGCTAATATAATTGGTTTGTTTTCTCAGGCTCAGGTTCTGTGGGGCTTTATGAARACAGCGACGGGACAGAAGAGAAACAAAAGGATTTTCATGCTAAGATTTGACATGAAAATGTGTTTTATCTGAGCTGGAAGCAGGTGGTTCATGTGTTTCATCTCTTTAAAACATTTACATCTTGATTTAAACCTTTGGTTTTAACAGAAAAACTAATGAAAGATTTTCAAACAGTCTTATTAACATCAGCACTGAGTCAGAATCCATAAACATCATGAAAACAAAAACATGAAACTGTTTTATAAATAACACAAACATACAGGAAGTCAGAGTTCATCCAGAACAATAAAGTTATGAATGCAAACCTTCAGGACCCACATGCACACACACCAGGGAATGCACGTGTCAGAGTACACGGTGGACATTTGCTACTGTTGGGTTTGAGGACGCTGCAGGAAGGATGAGCTGGTGGAGTTTGATTCTCTGTGTTCATCAAGGTTTCACCGGCTGGATGGAGAGCAGGCTGCCAAACTTAAAGTGCTGGATCACCGGGAACTTCTCCAGACACTGGAGACCACAGAGCAGAGAGAACAGGTTAGTGAGCTAAGCTAACTGCTAACATGTCAGGTAAGTTANGAGCTAAGCTAACTGCTAACATGTCAGGTAAGTTACAAACACTTACAGGAGCTAAGCTAACTGCTAACAGGTTAGATTAGTGAAGAACAGTTACAGATGCTAAGCTAACCACTATCTTGTTAGCACCCTACCCATTTGAGAACTGTTCAGGTTCAAAGGTTTTCTTTTTGCCCACTTTGTAACATTTTGAGTCTTCTGACACAAAGAGGTTCTGAAGATGAAGACAGCAGGTGATGAAGAGTTTCAGGTGTTTTGTCTGTTGTTTAACTTCTCTGCAGGGGACAGGTAAGGACTGCAGTCGGGTCAGACCAGAACCTGTCCTCGTTTATTTGAAACGTTTAGCAGAATGTGTTTTTCTACAGTCTTGGTAAAAAACACTCAAACGTCCCACAAAAAGACAGGTCTTTGAAGGCAGCTTCAGACCATGATGGTACCACCACCGTGCCTAACACTGGGTGTTCCAGCTTTATGGTTTTTCTTCTGAATCTGTGGATATTTGAAGTTTTGTGAAGGCAGAGTTTTTAAATATTGATGGTGTCTGAGGTAAAAAACACTTGAAAATTAATAAGTTTGTTTTCATGTTGAACCAAAGTTTGATAAATGTGACCCATCATATCAGGTCAAAATGACCTTTTTACGTTTTCACATTCCTGCTTTAAAAGCTACATTTTGATACCTGGATCAACCTGATATCATAAGTAAATCAATATATGACTTGATTTGTCGTGATGGTTACAATAACACATTAATATTT